CAATGCTCATGACGCCTTTCTCTGATTCTTCCCATCATCCCACACTAGTTTCTAGCTAGAGATGACAGGGTAATCCTGAAGTCAGACATACCTATAAGTGAGAAGAGCCGTAGGACTCCAGAAGTTGACCTCGTGCTCTGGAGATGTTCCTCAACTGTATTCATGTTCTTTTCCAGGGAATCACATATCTTCTAATTGTTCTGCCAGACACACCTGAGGCCAACATGTAAGTATTTATGTATTTATTCAGGCTAAATGTCGATGGAGATTCTCAGCCACCCAGGTGCTGGTTGTTCCAAAGGACCACCTGACCGCAGGAGAAATACTGCGACGGTCGTTAAGTGTGAAAAGCGGTCCTAAGTCCCCTTTTGCAGTGCCGCGGTAACTTTGAACGGTCGCTAAACGAAATGTTGTAAGCCGAGGACCTACCTGTAGCCTGAGTTTTCTTTTGAAGCTTCATAAACCTCTTAAAATGTTGGGCTTTGATTCTCTCCCTTTGCAGCAAGAAGCATTTTAAGAAATGCATCCAGTTCATCCACTCCTGTCGGCTGCAAGGGGGGAACTGCCTTGTTCATTGGTAGGTAGAAAAATTGGGGGGTGGGGGGGCCTGGGGGGTCTGGGGGGCAGAAAAGATTTGGGACCCACAAGTTGGATTCCTCCAATAGGGTAAAACAGGGGCTCTCCACTTTCAGACGGACAGACTTCAACTCCCAGAATTCTGGGAGTTGAAGTCCACCAGTGCTAAAGTCGCCCAGGTTGAGAAACACGACGCTAAATGTTAAGCCATGGTTTTATTAAGGTTTACGGAAGAAGCCCAAATAAGTTTGCCCTTCAGGCTAAATCATAAGCTGTGGTCGACAAACTTAGATAGTTGGCTTTGTTCTTTGTACTAAGCCATGATTTACTACCAAAATGGGTGAAATTACAAATAAAGGGGTGGGTTCAGACTCTATGCTAAAATATAAACTATGGTATTTGAGCTAAGCTTTTTTTCTTTTTCTTTCTTTCTTTCTTTCTTTCTTTCTTTCTTTCTTTCTTTCTTTCTTTCTTTCTTTCTTTTTCTCCCTTCCTCCCTCCCACCCTTTCTTCCTTCCTCCCTCCCTCTTTCTTTCTTTCTTTTTTTCTTACTTACTTTCTTTCTTTCTTTCTCTTTCTTTCTCTCCCTTTCTTCCTTCCTCCCACCTCTTTCTTTTCCTTCCCTCCCTCCCTCCCTCCCTCCCTCTTTCTTTCTTTCTTTCTTTCTTTCTTTCTCTCTCTCTCTCTCTTTCTTCCTCCCACCCTTCTTTCTTTCTTTCTTTCTTTCTTTCTTCCTTTCTTTCTTTCTTTCTTTTTTCTTTCTTATCACACGTCTCCCTCCCTTACAAGCCATGGTGTATGAATCAAAGTGGCCATGTTCACATTTGACACTAGCTACAATACAGATGGATGCTAAGCTACAGTATAAACCATGATTTATGATTCATGAACCCATGTTGCCAGGTTCACATTTGATATTAAGTCATAATCCAGATGGCTGGATGCCTATTTTCTACTAACCAATAAGCTGT